AAATACAGGAATAGTAATCGTTTTATAGATTATTTTTTTTTGCGTTACAAAAATAGTCTTTATTCAAATACATTATTATTATTTCTACTAGATCTGCTTACAGTATTTGTTTTCTATATCACATTTAATTTTAAGGCTCATGACCCATTAAGACCCATTAAGAATGTCACAAAGAGCTCACTACACTGGCCAACCCTGGAACTGACCTTTTAATACAAAATAACATTCCAAATACAGCGTATGTACAACACAGGTCAGTCAGTTTTCTCATAAGTTCATAACACTATAAGTTTAACTCGACTTTGTTCACGTGAAGCGGCCAATAGTGCAGTACCTGCCAATACCATAATAATTTTATCATTCTTAACATAAACTATGTGATAACTTACAAATAATACCATCTCCAAATCAAAAATGTGACATTTTGTGCATAATGTAATAAGTTATAAGAAGTTGTAATAAGTTATTACATTATTGTCTGGTGTAGCAGCCAACAATGTTACAACTACCATTATTGCATTAAAAAGTTATTACATTATTGGCAGTTATTACGTTATTGGCAGTTGTTACGTTACTGGCAGTTATTACGTTATTGGCAGTTGTTACGTTATTGGCAGTTATTACATTACTGGCAGTTATTACGTTACTGGCAGTTGTTACGTTACTGGCAGTTGTTACGTTACTGGCAGTTATTACGTTATTGGCAGTTGTTACGTTACTGGCAGTTATTACGTTATTGGCAGTTGTTACGTTACTGGCAGTTGTTACGTTACTGGCAGTTGTTACGTTACTGGCAGTTGTTACGTTACTGGCTGATACACCCGTCTTGCTTAAATCCACGTTTGCAGACACTGCCTGAAATAGCAGTTTATGTCAGCCTGTGCTTCTAAAGCGGAGACAGGAGCCATAAGACCTCATCCTCTGGTCCCGTGACTGACGCCTGTCCTGACGTCCTCAGAAAGCGCCACCCCACCTTCTCCAAAGACAGTCAGGTGCTGCTCACATCTTCTCGTAGGTGAGCTGGTGGCCGCAGGTCAGACACACCTTCTTGTAGGTGTCCTCCTCTTCGTCCAGCACCTCCTCCGGCCCGTACTCGTGCTGGTGGACGCTCACGTCCTTCTTCCACATGCTGCTCCTCACGGCCCGGCGGAGCTCTGAGAGGAGCAGGCACGTGACTCTCTGGTACGCAGCCTGTCACCAGTCTGGTGCATCTTTCACATTTAATGGATCCTTTTTTTACATGTTCAGAGAAACTGTGTGGATGTCTACTAATGGCCAAAAATACTTGTAATTCCACTTCAGCAGTACATGGAGGTAAGGTAAGGAGTAGCACTGATTACAGCGCTTTGCCACACCCACCACACAATGAACCACCTCAGGGATGAGAACCTCAGTGCAGCCGTGCGGCGGGTGAGACCTCAGCACCACCCCAGTCCAGATGGAATGGAACAGTGTGGGTTTTTTCCCAGTGGCTGGAGTGCCGATCCTGCCACCAACCCCCAAATTTTCCCTGGAGGTTGGAGGACCTGCTTATGATGTAGATTAACATCATACCCAGGATGAGGCAATTGCAGGGTAAGGGCCTTGATCAAGGGCCCAATGGCGTAGAGTTACCCCTAGCATTCACGGGATTCGAACCAGCAACAGCACAGATCCCTAGCCTCAGAGCCACTACACCGCCTGCATACGTGGAGGAATAGCTAGAATTCACCGCCACTCTTTTTTTGATTTCTCACCTTTGACCTTTTTGTTGAAGCGTCTCTGCTTCTGGATCTCCCGGTTCTCCTCCCTGGCCTCTCGCGCCTCCTCCAGTGCCTCCTCGCTGCCCCACACCTCTAGAGAGCATTTCACCACCTGGGGGGAGAGGACAGATATCCCACCAGGTCAACAGCCATGTGCTCCACAGGAATTCTCCATTAGCCTGCTGCACTTCCTCACGCGGCACCAGGCCCCCACCTGCAGCTTCAGGTAGAGCTTCATGTCGCCCCAACGCGGGTTGTGGGGGTTCTTCTTTTTTTTTTTTTATTTAACCTTTAATTAACCAGGTTTGTCCCATTGATATCACAGATCTCTTTTGCAAGGGAGACCTGGCCAAGGTGGCAGCAACACAGTGACAATGCAGAGTCTTACAAATTAGATGCTGACGTCCACACAAAGCACTGTCTAGGCTGCCATCTTGGAAAAAAAAAAAAAACAAACAGCACAAACTTCAGCGGGGGCTCCCGCAGGTCCAGGTCACAGTCCTTCAGTAGATACGTCTGCTTGGCCTCCGTCCGTGAGATCAGTTTGTGTTTGATCTCGTTGTCCCTGACAGGACAAATCGACCGTACCCATCAACTCCAGACCTGTGGGACCTGACCAGGCACGGAATGGCCATCAGAAAGTTCTGGAATGTTCCTGGTGGGCCCCGGAATTATAAAGGTGCAGAACACCACAGTTGTTCTCAGGAGGTGATTAATGGATGATGTTTTGTTTCATTGGTGACTAACCGATTGCAGCAATGGACCAGACAGCAAAATAAATGTCTGTAAATCACTCAGAGTAGTGATCTAACAATGCCAGTACCTGCATTTGTCACAGACATGCAGGTCAAAGCTGTTGCTGAGGTAGGAGTCCATAAATGGCTTATCACAGTCTTCACACACCAGGTAGTCTGGTTCAATCACCGGTCCTGATGGAACGAAATCACACGTGAAATGGATGCTGTAGACCTTCCCAGTGGGTGCAGTATTACTGCCAGAGGTGCAGTGGACCTCCATGGATCCGCAGCGAACATTTAGCCGTCGGGCATCAATTTGGGTGAGATTTCAGAAGGTACCTGGCTGGTGGACCACCTTCGTCACTCTCTGCTCCTCCTCCTCTTCTTCCTCAATGAAGAAGCCTGCCCCAGAGTCAATCACCTTGGAAACTTTGGCAGATGTACCACCTGAAAATTTTAAATGAACATGTTCAATTCCCTCTAAGGGGGGGTCACAAATATATACACAATTTGAAATTTATATCCTGATAATTTTCTGCAAAAGAATAAATAAAAAGGTATAGAGTGTTTATCTTTCTCCAAGTTCCCTGAAACTACAACAAAACATTTCCTATTGGCTGAGAGACTTAATGTCAGAAATGTGTAATTTCAGTCAGATGGTATCGGCCCGGTCACCTTCGGCAGAGGGTTTGCTGGCGAGCCTGGCCTGCCGGAGCATCAGCGCCCTCTGCCGGTTACGTTCGATCTTCGCTCGCATGGCTGCGGACAGAACCTCTGCGCTCTGCTCCTTTTCCGCAGCCGACAACGACATGTCATCCTTGGTACCGCTTATCGGTTCCATTTCCGGTCCGTTCCTAAAAAGCAGATTATATTACTCGTCCCAAATATGACACTTAGTTCACTTACTGAAGAAGCAAAGAGAGAACGAGGGATTTACTCTACAATCACATTTCCGACACAACTGTTTTAGCATTTGTAGTTACCAGTAACCGGTTTTCAGAAGATCCAGACAGCTTTGAAATACCATCTGAAGCTTAATCTAGATCGCAAAAGTGACGATAATGTATGAAGTGTAAAAGTGGGGGAAGCGCCGCCGCGTCGTTATGGAATTACAAAGAGACCGATCGGTTACGGAGGCTTGCGTTATAGTGAACATAAGGTATCCGTACAGTGCAGCTGACAAGCGAGACAGCCGTCGATCTAAGAACACTGCGTGCTTTGCTAGACACCGAGAGGAAAATGAGAAGGTTAGTTAGATTAAATACCAGCTTTAATCTGCAGTTAATAGTCCATACACCAACTGCGCAGGAATATGTTATTAGCTATATGGTTAGGCAAATGTGTACCAGGTGTTCGGCCTGTTGTGAAATAACTAGGATTGCTGCCATTTCCGTTATGTAATATTGCACTATTTAGACGTTGCTTTCATATTAAGAAATTATTAATGCACCAGAAAACATTACATTATAACACTAACTAAACAGTGAGGATTTAGCATAAATTTTAAAGTGATTCCAGCCATCGGGAGCTCTCCCAATTCTCAGTGTCCATCCAACAAACCCACTTACTGCCTGTACAGATTGCGGTGGGATTATCACACATCAAAAATAAAAACAATGCCCCCTTTGAGAGCTTCTCACTCAAACAATATAAAAAAATTCAATTTCCTGTTATTTGTGACATATTAGCCTGTCTTGTTTGGTGTTGTTTTGGTACTGTGTTTGCAGTAATCATATTTTTTACTGTTATAGAAATGCCAGAATAATGTTCTGAAGCTTGATTATCAGGTTTCCTCAAAATTGTCTATTTTCATTCAGCTATATGATTACAATCATTAAGTTCTTGCACCCACACTTCAAAACTCATTTCAGCGCCGCCACGTATACTTATGTGTGCGTGTGCGTGTGCGGGAGGGGAGGGGGGGCCCGATCTGTCTTTTGCCCCGGGGCCTTGTGTGCAGTTGTTCCACCACTGGGCTGAACTATACATACACTCACCTAAAGGATTATTAGGAACACCATACTAATACGGTGTTTGACCCCCTTTCGCCTTCAGAACTGCCTTAATTCTA